CTACATAGCATTCGGGAACTTCCCAATGCTAGTCGTGAGTTTCCCAATGCCATTCGGGTCTGTGAGCTGAGGTGTCATCTGAGAAGTATTATCACACCTCGGCTCACAGACCCGAATGGCATTCGGAAACTCACGACTAGCATTGGGAAGTTCCCGAATGCTATGTAGTATTTGACAGCTGAGAATGTCAAATGGGCGGAGCGAGCCGTGACGCCACGGCTGTGGTTGTCTCCAATTGCGTTAGAAAAAACAACGGCGTCTAGAGGAAGACCAGTCATTGGACACCTCCAGGTGTGCCGGTTACTATGTTTCCCACTGGGCACTGAGATTCCATCCAATGGCCTTTGTTCTGTACTGATATGGTGGCCTACGGATGCAACCACAGCGCCCAGCGGGGTATCAGGCATCCGACACTACTGGGTGTATAGGATGGTATGTGCTTGGCTGGCCACTGTGGTTCCATCTGATGGCCATTATCCTATATTGACTTAGTGACCCGTGGATGAAACCAGAGCGCCCAGCAGAGGAATAGCTTTCCTTCAACACACCCAAAGGGCAGAATGCCTGGTACCACTACGTCAGTACCAGACCACAGATGGAACCTCAACACTTTGTGCCGTACTGAGGTAGTGCTGGTGGGAAGAACCAGTGTTGTTCAGAGGGAGCCCAGTTATTGGATACTTCCAGGTGTATCAAATACCATGTGTCCTCCCACCCCCTGCTGGGTGCTGTGGTTCCTCCCGCTGGCCTCTACACCATTACTGTGTTCTGTACTGACGCAATAGCTGGCGGGAGGAACCACAACGTCCAGCGGGGGAAATTATATTCAACACACCGAAGGGTATAGGTGCCAGCTGCGGCCGGAGCTCTTAAACAGAGCGAAGATCAGATGGATTATAGTAATATTAGAACTAGAGATCCCAATACAAGAGTCACAAAGTCACAATACATGTATATTAGATAAAATACACATATATATATATATATATATATATTTTATATATCA